AAATTTTGAAGTAATATATGACCAGGGCATTGCTTGACATTTTTGTGATATTTACCAGTTTATCTCTAAATGCAATATATATTTTTATCCACCCAGATCGTATCAGCTAAAAGCAGTTTGAACAGAACATCTTAAAAGCAACTGTAGGTATTTTAGTGTAGGCCTATTTTTGTGACTTTCAGGGACGTGCACAGACATTTTGAGGGGCAGGGGCTCAAGTGGAAAAAAGGGCACTTCTCATATTTATTTTAATTAAAAATTTTCCTAATCAACACGTTAAATATATTAGGGGTGTGCGATATTGACAAAAACATATCAATATTTTCTGGGATTTTATCGATAACGATGATTATATTTTGCTGAGTGTGTTATTGTGCTGATATCTTAAGGACTACCGTGGACAGCTGACTCCTAACGTTTTTGATATTCTTCATATTCTGTGTGGTGATCAGTTCACAGCAGTGATAGAAATTAATCTTTTCCAATAAGTTTAAATTGATTTTTACCTTTTATGGGCATTTTTACCTTTATAAAGCCATTTCTAAAGTGTGCATCATCTTTTCAGTCAAATTCTTAAATTGCATCAGTCAATTAGAATAACAAGTCATGTGGGCTGTTGCCAAGCAACTGAAATCAGTACTGACAAAATTAATCTGTGCAATGCAGAGAAAACACAGAAGCTGCATTAGAAGGGGCATTTTGATGCATTTATACACTTTTTAATGCAGGCCATGAATGTATTTAACCTGCAGTTACAAATGCATTAATACTGTTTTGATATTTTAAACATGAAACGTTGAATACTGATATTTGAATTTATTAATTTTTTTAAACGAAAATAAACTTTAAATCTATAATTAAAACTGCCAGAAGGTGGCAAGCAAGTCACTGTTAATAAGTGAGTCATTGCTATTGAACCAAATCATTTAAATGGTTGATTCATTCAGAAACAAAACTTGTTCAGGTCATGTTGCTCAGAGATGCAAATTGGAATTATATTTGTTGGCGAAATGGAGCAAAAACAGTCAATATTGTGTCTAAAACGTATCTTAATATTAAATTCTTGTTTGTTGAACTGCTGTATAAAATCAATATCACATTTGTAACTGTAGAAAATTCTGCTGTGATCTGATTGGTTGACTGAGTCCTGATGAGAACACCTGTGGCCTCTTTCTAATCAAGCCTCAGTCTCAATGTGTTTGTGTGTGAGAAGCCGTCTCTCTACTCATACATGGCCTGTGTGGAATTGTTGTGTTGTTGACAATAAATAAACAATTACCTGCACTTGTGACCAATGGAAATGTCTACTCCTACCACATGTTGAGAAAATAAACTGGAAACATGAGATTGATGACTGAATGAGTTTTAATGGACTCACCATTCCGGTAGCAATAGCCAAACCAGCCTAATATTCCTTCCAATTTTCTACAGTAACCATGCTGCTTTTTGGTGGAAAAATGTCAGTCTTCGCATGATACTGATTAACTATATGAAATGATATAAATATATACATTTCTGCCCCCATAACTTGAATTTTGTGATGCATTTTAATAAACTGAATCATGCAGTGAAAGAACGGACACTGGTGTAACCTACTAGACTTCCTATTGCCTTAGCTAAACTCAGGGCCGTCCTTAGGGGGGTGCAACTGGTGCGGTCGCACCGGGCCCCACAGCGAACGGACCGAGGGGGACACGTGCATTTGTTGCTGCCATAAAGCAGTCCGCCCGTTTCACGGGAATTCGCTCACCAAACTTACAAACACCCAGAACAGACGCTTAAGGGGGCCAAAAGAAAGAAACAGAAGGCAAAAACGTATATTTCAAGGTTAAAAAATAAATAAAAAAATGCGAGAGGAAATTCGCAACTTTTTAAAATTCTGCCATGCGAAATTTCGAGTGAAATTCAGGATTTGGTTGGAGAGTGAAACGTGGGTTGTGTGTCATTGTTTCTTCGCAGTGATGAATTGTGCCCTAAAAGCCAATGAAGCAAGTAAATAAACCATTTTGATTTCAAGTTCAAAATCTCTGAGCGTGAACCTTTGGCCTCTGTCAAGAGCCATGGGCTGTCTGAGGGCCAGGATCAGAGACGCGTCCACTCCCGGCATCACCATCTCCTATCAAGACAATGTTTTTACAATTATATAATTGATATAGGCTATTTATTATCTAAGCGTTCATCCAGTAGCTGCTCTCCAAGGTTTACATTTTTAAAATAAATTCTCAGTTTCTCTCTTTTAATTGCAGTTTGACTGCAGTTGTCCATTTCTCTGCATCTCTTTCATTCACATCCATCTCTGTCTGGAACGAGTCTGGGATTCCATTCATCTGCTCATATGAATCTGAAACAAGCGTTTACACACACACTTAATCACATGTAAAGAGACACGCATGTCTTCAACACATAAAAATGCAGTGAATGGGTGCCGTCAGAATGAGAGTCCAAACAGCTGATAAAAACATCACAATAATCCACACCACTCCAGTCCATCAATCAATGTGAAGCCAAAAGCTGTGTATTTGTAAGAAACAAATACATCATTACATTGTTTTTAACTTGAAACCTTTGCTTATGCCAATATGTTAATATTGTGATGTTTTTATCAGCTGTTTGGACTCTCAAAATTTTTTAAATAAAAATAAAAATCAGTTGCTGTTCAGATTGGCTTTTGGTTTTGAAGTCATTTCAACTTAAATTGCTTTTAAAAGATCGAGCCGAATCTTGTATAACTTAAAAAAGGAAAGTGAAATTGGTTAAATTATTTTGATTAACTTAAAGTAATAAAAAAAACAAAAGTTGCCTTGACTAATTTTTTTTCGAGTGATGTGTTAATTCTGTGATTTTAACATTTGAAAGTGGCATGGTCCTTCTTGGGTCTTTCACAAAAACGAGTGAGCGCCATTTAAAAAAATTAAAATAGGCCCTATATACTATGCACTGCTGCTTAGTATTAAAATGATAGCTTCAGATGCATGATATTTGTAGGGCCCTTTTTTCAGTTTAAATGTTTCTGTATTCCATTTTAATGGTTCAATCAAAAACATATCTAATTAATTGAATTCATAAAAACAACTTAATTTTTTGAGTTGTATACAATAACAAAGGGCCCTATGAAATTTTAATTTTAATTACTAATTTTTTTTTTAGAAATTCTGTGTTGTGTATTTTCATTTTTCTGGTAATCAAATGAAGGCAAAAACATTAATCTATATTTTATTCCAATGAAAATTAAACAAACCCTTTAATTTTTGTACATTCAAAATGCTACACAACAGAAGTTTACTGTGTAACGAGAAATGTCACGGAATTCGTCAAATATTGAATGAATAAATGCAATTCAGTACACTTCAATCAAACCACGATATGGACTAGTGTGTGAGAATATTAAATGGAAAAAATACTATTTAGCTACTACAGACGACAGCCGCGCACGTTGCGAGTGCTTAAATAGCAAACGAAACGCGCGTCTGCGCCGTTCATTCCGCGTTACACAGTCAATTCCGTTTTTATGAATAGATTCCGGGATTCCTTCTACATCGCCCTACTTTTGCAAAGAAGCACGTTCAACGCGGACGCACAGACGGTTGTCGTGAAAATGAACACCACAGCAACCACTTGTACGTCCGCACTGAACGCGCATCTCGCATATAAAAAGCATTTTAGGGGGCCCTTGGCTTTTGGGGGCCCAAGGTGGTCGCCCACCTTTGCCTAATGGTTAAGTCCGCCTCTGGTGGAATTGTCACTTGATTTGACAAATTTCTTTTGAAAAACAGCATCATCTTCTAGATCTGCTTCATGTGACACCCTCACACGTTCAGTCTTACTCTGTTTCTTTTCACACACACTCACAGACAGATCCCAAGGGAGGGACTGCGTGTAGTTTTCTCAGCGGCTGCCACACGTTTCCTTTCTTTTACACAATGCCCAGACACAAACATTTGCAACTGTATTTTCTCTGAAGTGATGGTTACACTGCTGAAGCTCTAACCATCAAACATGCACCCAAACTATCTAGCACCAGAAATGTATAGATATTTTAGACTTAAACTAACAGTGTGGAAAAACTACACGGCAATTAGTAGAGACCAAAAACAACATTCAATGTATTCCATGTTTAAATAAGTTGTAGTTTAATATGCTCAAATATTTAAACATCTACACGTACCCGCAATTACAAAAACTATTGCTTCAATTCACACAGTCTGTATATTATATGCATAACTATTGGTCTGTATGAACTACTGTGATAGATACCCATTTTTCTCTTTTCAAATATTATATGAACTGTTGTCCAGAAAGTTCAAAAGAACAGCATTTATCTGAAATATAATTTTTTTGTAACATTATAAATGTCTTTATTGTCACTTTTGATCAACTTAAAGCATCCTTGCTAAATAAAAGTATTAATTTCTATAATTTCTCTAAAAAATAAAAATAAAATAAAAAATAAAATAAAAATACTGACTTCAAGCTTTTGAATGGTATATGTATAATGTTACAAAAGCTTTTTATTTCAGATAAATGCGGATCTTTGGATCTTTCTATTGGATCTTTCTTACTGTTCAAAAAAATTTGACTGGTAGTGTATGTATGTAGCCTATGTATCACACTCATATCACATCTTGTTTTGGATAAGAATAAACCGTCAGGTCTGACAATATCGTGTCTTTTTTATTTAAATCTAGCTTTATTCGCATTGGCCCATGGAAACCTCTATGCACACACTTGACTTGACTTGGCTAAAAAATTGCTGAGGACGAATGTACGTTTTATTAAACGTTTTAGTGTTAAACGTTTATTAAAGTGTTTACGCATACACTCATGGTGCGCAGCCGCGCACACACATTAGGATAGGTTAGATGCCTGCCTCCGTTGCGAGTCCCTATCAAGCACTTTACCAATTCAACTACTCTCTTCTTCTCCTCCTGCCTGGCTCTTTGGCCCGCATCACTCACCGCAGAGCAAGCCTGTTCTTGATAAATCTCCTGTGAAAACGTGGGAAATGCCGGCGAGGAAGAAGTTGGGGTGATGCGATCTTTATATAGGCGGAGCAAAATACTTCATCACTCTGTCTATAGCGCATTGTGATTGGATGTTTACGCTGTCAATACAGGAGACAAACCAATGGGCCACTGGCTGCTCGCTGTCCCTGCGTGATGGTTTTCGGCAAAAAAAAAACATTCTGTCGGCCCCTTAAGTGCGTCGGCCCACCGGGAAAATGCCCGGTATACCCAATTACCAATCCAGCCCTGCTGGTCGCCGAGGGATGCTTCATCCCTAAGGAGGAAAATTCTACGGGGATCAAGCAATTCCGTACCATCTCTCTCCTCAGCGTCAAAGGTAAGAATTTTCTTGGGATTCTGGCAAAGAGGCTGACCTCCTTTATGATAGACAAGGGGTACATGGACACGTCAGTCCAAAAGGGGGGAGTTCCAGGGGTAGCGGGCTGCCTTCAGCACACTAGCATAATCACTAAGACCATCGATGATGCAAAGAAGAACCGTAGTGACCTGGCACGAGCTCGCCCCTCCCCATCCCCCAACCATTCGAATTTCTGTAGGCGGGAATTATTTTAATGCTATTCTAATGGACCGCTTTGTGATATCACAAAACCCGGAAAACAAACGCTGTAGTCCAAACGAGTCGTTCGTTGTAGTTCTTGAAAAGGGATTTTTAAAAAACGAAATATCTCCCTTTAGCCTCTTAAGACCCGAGAAAAAAGTTTTAGGAAAAAGTTATTTTTTTCCATGCCTTTACATTGTTTAGAGCATTAAAAATAATGTAAAAAAAAGATATATTAAAAAAATATATTTCATTCATAAGTTATGCTATGTCCTCGGTAGAGTACATTGGGACTCAATTTCTTTAAAAAAAATAAAAGACTTCAATGAACATGCATAGGTAAAAACAATTGATTTTTAAAATCACCAATACATTTTTAGCTTTCAATATTTTTTTAAAATCAAACTTTGTATAATGATGATTCTCAACTATGTTATAACAGAATGATTCAATATACTATTTTTTTCTGCAAAATGTGTGTAAAGTGGCCATAAACAGGTTTTCTCATTATATACAATGTATCTATAAACTAAATCTAATTTGCATATGAATGTGTTTTTGGGGCAACATGTAATGGAAAAACAAGTGTAATAATGGTAGTAATAATTGACAAGATTTTCATAATAATATATAATATTTCATAAAATATAGAAATATAATTTCTTTCCCCGTTCATTTGTTATGTCTCCCAAAATGCGTAATAAACATGCTTTTAGTCCCGGTGTCCTCATATGAGGACATGCATGAAATCAACGTCCTGTTTCGTAACAGAAAGTCATATTTTGATTTGAAACCCCATAACATTTTCCTGAGACGTTGATTTATGACACACAGTTTAAAAGTTTGTCAGATTTAAATGATAATTACAAAATATTATCATATTTCCATAAGAGTGTCACTAAATTAATTTCAGACATTTTTGAAGACCAAGGTGAGGGAGTGGTCATGGTGAAACATCCAAACATTTAGTATCTCTGAAATGCCCTGAATGTGCTCTGTACAGGACATCCAGACTTAAAACTGTGGCATGTACAGTCAAAATACAGAAATTCACAAAAATATAATGTCCTCATATGAGGCCGCAGGGTCTTAAGAGGTTAGAGTGGAATTTGAGATTTGTAAATTGGAAGATCTTTTTTTATGCCCAAACTACACACCGACTAAAATTCAAAAAGTGAAAAAGCAAAATAGGACCCCATTAATGTTCTGGTTATTTTGTTTCAGTGTACAACTTGTTAATTTTGTGCAAAGTATTGGCCTACAGTCAAAGTAAACTTCATCATTCAGCTGAACTGTGCATATTTATTAGACACAGGTCTTGTTCAATTCATGCCATAAACGCATGTCCCTGCTTAGCGGTGGGCTATGACTAATTTCACGGGCAAAGCAGACAAAATTACAATTTCTGTATTGTCTTTTTTTTTTTTTTACAAATAAAGCTTCATTTTATGAGAAGGATACTTTCTACGACCTTTATCCTGCAGTCATGGTAAGATTATAGATTCATTCAATCTAAAAAAAAAAAAACAAGAATCGAAAACAACAGAGAGGAATCGATTCCAGAACCAGGAATCGGAATCGATTCCAAAAATTTCGGAATCGAACAGCCCTGACTAAACAAGAACAAAGCAATTTGAGCGGGAAACACAACCAGCTCCGTTTGAAAACAGGAGCTGCGCAGTCATTGGCTAGCAGTCAAGCTCAGACTTCACACATCAGCCAATCACAAGCCTTTGCACTTTTATGATGCCATAAGCTGTGGCTGTATGAGGCTTTAAAAGCAGGCGCATAACATAAACGTCTCAGGTTACTTATGTAACCATGGTTCCCCGAGTAGGGAACGAGACACTGCGTCCTCTAGGTTTCTTGCCATGCTGCGGACGCAAGCTTCAGACGAAGAAGTGAATGATGTGTAGCTCCCGGCGCCTATTTATACTATAGTCGCACCGGTAGTGAGTTGGTGTTTTGTCAATGTATTCTTCAGACACAGGTCACGACGAGGCGCTCCCCATAGCGACCCCTAGAGGACGGAGTTCGAAGTTCCCATGAAAGGGAACGTCTCAGGTTACTTATGTAACCATGGTTCCCTGAGTAGGGAACGAGACACTGCGTCCTCTAGGTTTCTTGCCATGCTGCGGACGCAAGCTTCAGACGAAGAAGTGAATGATGTGTAGCTCCCGGCGCCTATTTATACTATAGTCGCACCGGTAGTGAGTTGGTGTTTTGTCAATGTATTCTTCAGACACAGGTCACGACGAGGCGCTCCCCATAGCGACCCCTAGAGGACGCAGTGTCTCGTTCCCTACTCGGGGAACCATGGTTACATAAGTAACCTGAGACGTTTATGTTATGCGCCTGCTTTTAAAGCCTCATACAGCCACAGCTTATGGCATCATAAAAGTGCAAAGGCTTGTGATTGGCTGATGTGTGAAGTCTGAGCTTGACTGCTAGCCAATGACTGCGCAGCTCCTGTTTTCAAACGGAGCTGGTTGTGTTTCCCGCTCAAA